ATACACCACACACTTGAACAATATATGAAGTGAGGAAAGACAATACTCTGATAGACCTTTGGTAGCAGTATACAGTAGAAATGGCCCGACTCTGATAAACAAGGCACATGTCGAGGAAATGTAGACACAGCGGATTTACCCTACACAACACATGTATACATGTATATATATTTGTAAACTGCATTACATTTACAATACATATAAAGTTCTGAGAAGTGTTTAAACCTCTTTTTTCTATGTATGCCACTTGTGTGAAAACCATGGTTACCACATCAAAAATTACCAAAAAATTGCCAAAAATTGCTATTTGTTAACCCAAAATTTGACCCCCGCAATTAGTTTTTTTTTTCCAAAGTCCTGTCTGAAATTAAAGGCTACCTACTTGGTTACAGAATTATCTGGGTCCCAGTAAATATGTCAAACTTGATTTTTTGCAATTTTGCGTCGTGTGCTGTTGTCAAAATTTTACCTCCTGTAAAGCTAGCTTTTCATGTGTAGGCACCCTTTCGGATTACGGCCAAAATTTTGATCTCTAACCAAAGTTTTTTTCTTTTTTACAAATGTGAAGCTCACATAGCCCACTTCATCATGCTTATACCAATTTTATTACAGTTTTATTTTTATTTATTTTTACATATCATTATAGAGGGGTTAGCGATTTAACAAAAATATCACCCATGGCCACAACCCTCTACTGTATACTGCTACCTTATTCATCACTTTCTTTTTCCCAAAATTTAATTAAAACCTTTTAAATGTCTGGAAACTGAGACAATGAACACAACGATGCATCCGTTTCCTTTCTCACTTTAATAGTGACCGAGAAATATGAATTCTCCTGACAGGTTTATTTACCAATTCTGCTCTCAAACTACCAACAAAGGGAGGTAATCTGAAAAATGAAAACGTGAATAGGTTTGTAGTTTTCATGAATAAAATTTCTTTTTGGGTGAAATATGATGCTTTGAGATAATATGCATGTGAAAAACAAAACAGTACAGTGATACTATGATGTTACTGTCTTGTTTGATGACGTCATAGTAACTGCGACACACCGCCTTCCATGCATGTACCGTCAAACCAAGATTCATATCCGTAGGTGAAATAGTACGGGAGATATGCTCTGGAAACATTTCTGACGGCATTATGTATGTCAGAGGTCACGTTAAAGGTCACAGTGACCTACATATGGTATGCGACACACCGCCTTCCATGCATGTACCCACAAACCAAGATTCATAACCGTAGGTGAAATACATGTAGTACGGGAGATATGATCTGGAAACCTTTCTGACGACATTATGTAGGTCACAGGTCACGGTAGAGGTCACAGTGACCTACATATGGTATGCGACACACTGCCTTCCATGCATTAATCACGACAAACCGCCTTCCATGCATGTACTCACGACAAACCGCCTTCCATGCATGTACCCTCAAACCAAGATTTATAACCGTAGGTGAAATAGTACGGAAGATATGCTCCGGAAACCTTTCTGACGACATTATGTAGGTCAGAGACCACGGTAGAGGGCACAGTGACCTACATATGGTATGCGACACCCTGCCTTCCATGCATGTACTCACGACAAACCGCCTTCAATGTACGTACCAACAAACCAAGATTTATAAGCGTAGGTGAAATAGTACGGAGATATGCTCTGGAAACCTTTCTGACGACATTATGTAGGTCAGAGGTCACGGTAGAGGTCACATTGACCTACATATGGTACTCGACACACGGTTATGATTTTTGGTTTGAGGGTACATGCATGGAAGGTGGTGTGTCGTGAGTACATGCATGGAATCTCGTTCCCTAAAATTACAATGAAAATAAATGAATTTAAGAAGGGGACGGCTTATGGAAAATGAATAATTCTTTATTACAAGATATAGAGTACTTAAATATTATAAACAATTATATAGATAATGTTAAGAAACAATATTGTCTTCCAGTATACAAGATAGATAACCTTGAAAATATATCGGACTCTGATTTACAATTTACTATAAATGTTCAGCTACTTTTGGAAACTTTATTGATGGAAATCAGAGGGAAAACTATTTCTTATTCCTCATATAGGAAAAAAACAGCAAAATAATAGAGAGGATATTCTTAAAAGGTCAATAGCAGAGTTAGAGGCAGAGGGAGTAAATATAGAGGAATTAGAAAAAAAACGGAAAAAAACTAGAAACCATTAGATTGCAAAAAATTAAGGGGAGTATGATTCGTTCTAGAGCTAGGTAGGTGGAGGAGGGGGGAAAACCAACTAATTACTTCTTCAGTTTAGAGAACAGAAACTTTACATCCAAAATAATACCAAAACTACATAAGGATACTGGTGCAATTTTGACAAGACAGGAAGATATATTGGAGGAAATGAGTAACTTTTATAGGAAACTGCATGATTCTACATGTGATGGTCATGACATAAGTTTTTTGTTAGTGACTGTGACGTACCGAAGCTGTCTCGGCTTGATTCTGATCAATTGGAGGGGGACATTACTTATGAGGAAGCTGGTAAAACATTAAAACACATGAAGAATAAAAAAAGTCCAGGGTCTGATGGGTTTACAACAGAATTTTTTAAATGTTCTTGGTGAAAATTAGGGCATTTTGTTGTTAGAGCAATTAATTATGGTTATCATAGGGGGAATTATCTATAACTCAAAGGCAGGGAATTATTACTTGTATACCAAAGGCAGATAAACCCAGACATTTTATTAGAAATTGGAGGCCTATATCATTGTTAAATATTGTTTACAAAAATGCATCAGGTTCTATAGCTTATAGGATTAGAATTGTTTTTGACAAGTTAATAGATAAAGATCAAACTGGTTTTCCTTCAGGGCGGTATAAAGGTGTAAACACAAGGCTCATATATGATATAATGCAATATACTGAAGAAAATGATATTCCTGGAATGCTTTTGAGAAAGCTTTTGATTCAGTGTCTTGGGTTTTTATTGATAAAGTCTTAAATTTCTTTGGATTTGGTAAAAGTATTTCATCTTGAGTTAAAACGTAACATAAACATGCTTATTCAGGGCGGTAATCTGTCGTCTTCTCTTAATATTAAACGAGGTTGTCGTCAAGGGGACCCGATCGCCCGATAATTATTTATACTCTGTGTGGAAATTTTGGCCCTCAGATTACGAAATAATGATTACATTCAAGGTATAGAAATAGATAATTGGCCAATATTAGTATCCCAATATGCAGATGATACCTCACTTATCTTAAATGGATCAGAAAAATAATGAGTATGTCAAAATTTCGGGGTTGAAAATTAATGTAGAAAAAAACACAAGTAGTTTGGATTGGTAATAAAAAGTTTAGTGAAGAAACCTTTTTACCGAATCTCCAATTACAGTGCGGTAGGAGAAACTTTACACTTTTGGGAATAGAGTTTAGTATAAATCTTCATGAAATTCCAAAGATGAATTATGACAAAAAACTAATTAAGCTAAAATTATTACTAAAAACCTGGAGTAGAAGGTCTTTAACACCTATTGGTAGAATTCATATAATTAAATCACTGCTGGTATCACAGTTTAATCACCTTTTTATTTCACTTCCAAATCCAAATGAAAACTTTCTGAAAAAGTTAAATTCTATCCAGTTCCAATATTTATGGAATGTAGGGTCAGATAAAATCAAGAGAGATGTTATCATTCAAGACTATGGGAATAGAGGACTAAATATGATTAATACAGATGCTTTCATTTGTTCTTTAAAATTAAGTTGGATCAGAAGAATATTCCAAACTACTGAGAAATAGCAGGCTATCTTGAAAACTCATACTGATACTGATTTGCTAGCAGATTGTGGTAGTGAATATATACAATTATGCAAGAATAAATGTAAAAACCAATTTTGGAGAGATGTTTTTAGATCATAGTATAAATACAGTTTGCGAAAGGACAACTTAGGAAAGGATGAGTTACTCTTGAAAATACCACTTTTGTATAACAAAAACATATGTATTGGGGGAAAAACATTTTTTTACAGGGATTGGTACAAGAAAGGCGTGGTTAACATATATGATGTTTTGAAAGATGCTTCTGCAGGTTCTTTTTATTCCCTTAACGAGTTTTCACTTAAATATCAGATTGTGACAAATTTTCTGCAGTACCACAGCTTCACATCTTCAATAAAGGGGTTTATCTCAGCTTATGATCTAACAAAATCCAACATAGTTGCCCCCTTTATAACAGTAAACACACAACCTTTTTTCAAGTATGCCAGAGGTTCGAAAATGTTTAATAATGACTTGATTAGGAATAATGCAATACCAACTGGTAAAATGAAATGGAACCAAATATTTGATGATAATATTGATACAGAGTGGGCAAAATTTTTCGATATTTCTTTCCAGGCTACAAAAAATACAAAGCTTCAGTGGTTTCAGTTCCGAGTGGTTCATCACATCCTGACAACAAATTCTTTCCTTTGTAAAATTGGCCTGGTTACCTTCCCTCTTTGTATTTTATTTAATTCTGTCACGGTAGAGGTCACAGCGACCTACATATGGTACGCGACACACCGTCGTCCATGCATGTACCCAGCCATAGTACGGGAGATATGCTCCGGAAAGCCACCGGACGACGGACGGACGCACACACGGACGGACGGACGAAGCAAACACTACATACTTTAATAACTGACGAGCAATAGACCTTGCAGGTAATCGGTTTGGGATGTCAATTATAATGCAATTTGAAGTCCGAATACTTATCGATAAACGACGACGGGCACGACTTGTTCGCAAATGGTCCGTTACAATTTCTGAACGTAATTGGTTACTCCTTAAAACCAGATTTAAAACTATCAAAATTGAATTGTCATTTTTAAATTGTGTCAAAAAAATTAACTTTACCTGAATACGCTGATTCGGATTTATTTTTTACAACCAATGACTGTTTGCGCGCCAATTTGTATTGCTCCGAAAAAAAAAACATATGAATATACTAATTCAAATAAATTAGAATTTTACTTACGGCCAGCCAATTTGTCGATGATCAGATTTTTGATGAGGCTTGTAATCACACACAGAAGTTCCCCAACTTTAACAAACGTCAAAACACAAAGAATATTGGCACTTGTTATGTTCCCATTAAAACCTCCTTAAAACAAAAATGCTACAAACGCTTGCACGCACACATTGAAATATATTTAGACAGATGACATGAAACTAGTCGTAATCGCCTGATATTAAAGCTACTGCAAATTCCTCATATTGTATAAATTGTTTAATTTGATTATATGAACAATGATGATAAAGTTATTTAGATACGGGGTACTGTATCAAAAGGACAATAATTATAATTGGATTCAGATAGGGGGTACTATATCAAAATGAATGGTGAATAATTATGTTATTTAGATAGACGGTACTATATTACATAGTGAATACATACAAGAGGCCAGGAGGGCCTGTATCGCTCACCTGGATATCTCAGCAATCATGGCAAAATATTCTCCAAATGAGATTCAAGGGAATTGCCAGACCCCAAGGCCAATCCTTGTAATATATCTGTATTAGATTTTTCATGCCCAGCAATTTTATGTATGGTTATGGGAGGGGATCTCAACTGTTTCCAAGCTGTGACTCAGAAACTAGATCCCTTGGGTTGTGGCCAGACCCCAGGATCAATTCTAAAATCATGACTACATTCGTCTCTTTATGCCCAACAATTGTATATATAGTTTTGGGTTGGGAATGTTAACCATTTCGAAGTTATGACAAAGGGGTTAAGTCTCCAAGGTTGGTACAGACGCCAAGGCCATCCTGGAAGCGTATGTGCATTCATTTTTTTCTACTACGCAATTGTATATGAGGTTATAGGGTGGGGATCTCAACTGTTTCCAAGCTGTGACTAAGAAACTAGATAAAGGTTCCTAGTGAATCGGTCAGACCCAAGGGTCTATTCTAATGTCATGACTGCATTCGTCTCTTTATGCCCAACCATTGCATATATGGTTTTGGGGTGGGGGTCTCAAGTTTTGACAAAGGGGTTAAGTTTCCAAAGGGTGGGCAGACGCCAGGGCCATCATATATTTATACTCAGCAATTGTATATATGGTTATAGGGTGGGGATCTCAATTGTTTCCAAGCTCTGACTAAGAAACTAGGTCCCTAGGGGTTCGGTCAGACCCCATGATCTATTCTAATATCATGATTGCATTAGTCTCTTTATGCCCAGCAATTGTGCATTCATCTTTTTATTCTTAGCAATTGTATATATGGTTAAACGGTGGGGATCTCTCAGCCTTTTCCAAATAATAAACTTGTTTGGCCCCACCCCTTTGCCGGGGGGTGGGGGTCAGCCCCACCATTTGTACAATTTTGAATCCCTGCCTCCAATGAATGCTTTTGAAAATATATATTTGACATCCATGTTATAGTTCTACAGAAGACGTCGTTTGTAGCAATATAGCCAAATTGCCCCCTTTTGGCTCCTCAGTCCCCTGAGTTTCAGCCCAACCATTTGTACAAATTTGAATCTCCACTACCTAGGAATGCGTCCAGTCAAATATGGTTAATCTCCATCTCTTAGTTCCAGAGAAGAAGTCGTTTAAAGCAATATGACCAAATAACCCTTTTTGGTATTGCCCCTCAGCCCCCTTAGGGGTCAGCCCCACCATTTGCACAATTTGGAATCCCCACCACCTAGGGATGCTTTCAGTCAAATTTAATTAAATTCCAGTCAGTGGTTAAGTAGAAGAAGTCGTTTGAAGAAATTGTTGACGTACGGACGACGGACGGACGACACGGAATGGCATAAGCTCACATTGGTCATTCGGACCTGGTGAACTAATGATGTTATTTAAATAGGGTTACTATATCAAATAATGAATAACATAATGTTATTTAGATAGGGTGTACTATATCAAATAGTGAATAATTATGATGTTATTTATATAGGAGGTACTATATCAAATGTTGAATAATTATGATGTTATTTAGATAGGGGTACTATATCAAATGTTGAATAAGTATGATGTTATTTAGATAGGAGGTACTATATCAAATGGTGAATAATTACGATGTTATTTAGATAGGAGGTACTATATCAAATGGTGAATAATTATGATGTTATTAATATAGGAGGTATTATATCAAATGGTGAATAATTACGATGTTCTTTAGATAGGGGTACTTTATCAAATGGTGAATAATTATGATGTTATTTAGATAGGAGGTACTATATCAAATATTGAATAATTACGATGTTATTTATATAGGATGTACTATATCAAATGTTGAATAATTACGATGTTATTTAGATAGGAGGTACTATATCAAATGGTGAATAATTATAATGTTACTCATTACATACTTTCTAATCAATCCGGGTTTTTTGTATATGCGATACGACACAATTGCTCTTACCCATATCAGCCCATGCCGTATCACACCCCAAAACCCGTATCAGCCCCCGCCGTATCACACCCCAAAACCCGTATAAGCCCGCAAAACCCATATCACACCTCTTTTGGGAAAAAAATCGTTTTTCAATATTTAAAAATTAAAAATAAATCATAAGATAGTAGTTTTTATTAGTAAGTATGTAATAAACAGAATAAAACACGCCTTTTTCCATATTACACCCAGTATCAACCCTTGACCAATATCAGCCCTCGGGCATTCGGCCCTTGGGGGATATTGCAGTCTCGGGCTGATACTGGGTGTGATATGGAAAAAGGCATGTATTATTCTCTATTTATATGGGGCTTCTAAATCAAATGGTGCATAATTGTAATGTTATGAAGATAGAGGGTATTATATCAAATGGACAGTAATTATAAGGTTATTTTGATAGTGTACTACATCAACTGCACAATAATCATAATGGTATTAGGATAGGGGGAACTATATCAAATGGTGAATAAATATAATGTTATTTAGATAGGAGGTACTATGTCAAATGGTGAATAAATATGATGTTATTTAGATAGGAGGTACTATATCAAATGGTGAATAATTATAATGTTATGAAGATAGAGGTACTATATCAAATGGTGAATAATTATAATGTTATGAAGATAGAGGTACTATATCAAATGGACAATAATTATAATGTTATCGTTCCATTATAATTACTGTCAGATAAAAATGTCTTATTTCCAGCATTGCGGAATTTTCAAACATAGCTGTTATGTCCTTAAAAGTATCAATATAAAGCAAAATCCTCGGTTATTTGATTATTTCTACTCAAGGAAGTAGGTTCTACCGGAAATATGTTAAAATTCATAGTTCAATTTTTGAAAGACAGAAAAATTCAAGTCAGCATGAACAACACTCTATCTGACGACTTAACCCTAGATACATGTAACGGTGTTCCACACGAAGTATCATTTTACCTAATTCACGTCTAAATTAGCTAATAATATTGGACAAGTCGCAGAAGGCTCAGTCATACAACAATAACACATAATGATGACGTCATTCAAAGACGAGATTCCACAATGGGCAAATTAACGGGATTTTAAATATCAAAATAAACAAACGGTAGTTATGTCTTTTTCTATAGGAACAAAATGCCCAGAACTATACTTGGGAGATAAAACCAATTCGTTAAAGAAACACGTTTTTTTGACATGATATGTTACTTGAAACTAACATGGATTCTCCATTAGGTGCAAAAGTGTTCTTAATACAGAAGTATATTTGTCAAAAAGCAACATCGAATAATAAATTTTGATTAACTGTAGTCTAAAAGTACGTAGTCTAACTAATATGTATCTGACTAACAGCAGTCTCCAGTCACACTGACTCACTTAAATATAAGTAACTAACAGTAGTATTAATTCACGCTGTGTGACAGACATATAAGTTACTAATAGTAGATTAAATATACGTTATCGGAGTCACAAAAAAATAACTAACGGTAGACAAAATGTCCGTTGTCTCACAAACATATATGTTACTAACAGTAGTCTAAATGTAGGTTGTCTCACTGACATAATAGTAACTTATAGTAGTCTAAATGTACGCTGTACAACTGACATATATGTTTTAACAGTAGTCTATATGTAGGTTGTCTCACATACATATATGTTACTAACATACATATATGTTACTAACAGTAGTCTATATGTACGCTGTCTCACATAAATATATATTACTAACAGTAGTCTAAACGTAGGCTGTCCAACTGACATATATGTTACTAACAGTAGTCTAAATGTACGTTATATCACTGACAATTATGTTACTAGCAGTAGTCTATATGTACTTTGTCCCACAGACATATATGTTACTAACAGTAGTCTATATGTTCGCTGTCTCACGGACATATATGTTCTAATAGTAGTCTAAATGTACGCTGTCTCACATACATATGTGACTAACTGTAGTCTATATGTACGCTGTCTCACATAAATATATTCAACTTACAGTAGTCTATATGTACGCTGTCTCACATACATATATGTTACTAACAGTAGTCTAAATGTAACCTGTCACACTGACATGTATGTTACTTACAGAAGTTAATATGTCCGCTGTCTCACATACATATATGTTACTAACTGTAGTCTATATGTACGCTGCCGCACTTATATGTTACTAACAGTATCCTATATGTACGCTGTCTCACATACATATATGCTACTAACAGTAGTCTAAATGTACGCTGTCTCACAGACATATATGTTACTAACAGTAGTCTAAATGTCTGCTGTCTAACATACATATATGTTACTTACAGAAGTCTATATGTACGCTGTCGCACATACATATATGTTACTAACAGTAGTCTAAATGTCTGCTGTCTCACATACATGTATGTTACTTACAGTAGTTTATATGTCCGCTGTCTCACATGCATCTATATTACTAACAGTAGTCTATATGTACGCTGTATCACATATATATATGTTACTAACAGTATCCTATATGTACGCTGTCTCACATACATATATGTTACTAACAGTAGTCTAAATGTACGCTGTCTGACATACATATATGTTACTTACAGTAGTTTAAATGTCCGCTGTCTCACATACATATATATTACTAACAGTGGTCTAAATGTACGCTGTCTCACATACATATA